CTGTATATCTTTCCTCTCTCTGTGAGTCATCATTTTCCTTCAATTCGCAAGAGGCTGAATGTATTTCACCGGAGAAAGCATCCAAGTGAGTGAACCCATTCATTTGATGATGTCTGGTCAAAAATAATATATTGTTGCTGCCCCTAGCATTGAATACAAGGGAAGCCAGGGAGCATTTGGCCTCCCTTGATATATATATATATTTAAATAATTGCCAATCAGCATTGAGCTAAACTGAGCAAGCTCAACTGTGAATGGTCCTGGCGCACCAAAGAAAAGTGTCAAGGGAAGCCAGTTTGGATTTGGCTTCACACCAATTCCATCACCCCAAAAGCCAAATGTCATTTACAGAAAGAAAAAAAAAACGAATTGTTGCATCTCCTTGTGTTGTTGTCTTCTGGTGGCTAGCTAGCTAGCTAAAATGTGCCCTTTCCTAAATTAGCCATGGATGGAGATAGAGATTTGGACTTCATTCTCCGTACTGGCCAATGATTATAATGGCGATTCTGATCCAACCATAAATTCATACATTGTGCCCCTAGCCTGAAAGGATGGAAGTTCAACATATAGCTAGATATAGTAGGCTAACATGTTTTTTCTACTTGCACACACACACGGAAATCAGTACCATGGACAGCCACATCATATTTAGCTTACGCTTGATTGGACTAAATCGTTTTTGGTATCTTTTAGTTGCCACTGTATTAGACTAAGCATAGGTGAATAGATGATGTTAAAATGGTGCTGGAATAGTGGAGGCAGCTCCGGTTTTCTTTGTGACTTGTGGTAACTCCCCATGGTTCTAAATCAATAGCTGTTTAGTAGTCCTTAAATGTCGGAAACATTAACTTGCTTGACCATGCTGTAGGTCATGTAACTGTTTGTTACATGCAATATGATTTTGGGACTTCACCGGAGAGATGTTGCTCTCCGGTTTTGTGATGAAACAAAGGTGTGGTTGAATTTATTCTGCTACTGTGTCTTCTAATTGTCTCGACGTTAGGCCTATATATCACAATGTCAAGGCATACAGTGAGGGAAATAGGTATTTGACCCCTCTGCAAAACATGACTTAGTACTTTGATGGCAAAACCCTTGTTAGCAATCACAGAGGTCAGATGTTTCTTGTAGTTGGCCACCAGGTTTGCACACATCTCAGGAGGGATTTTGTCCCACTCCTCTTTGCAGATCTTCTCCAAGTCATTAAGGTTTCGAGGCTGACGTTTGGCAACTCGAACCTTCAGCTCCCTCCACAGATTTTCTATGGGATTAAGGTCTGGAGACTGGCTAGGCCACTCCAGGACCTTAATGTGCTTCTTCTTGAGCCACTCCTTTGTTGCCTTGGCCGTGTGTTTTGGGTCATTGTCATGCTGGAATACCCGTCCACGACCCATTTTCAATGGCCTGGCTGAGGGAAGGAGGTTCTCACCCAAGATTGACGGTACATGGCCCCGTCCATCGTCCCTTTGATGCGGTGAAGTTGTCCTGTCCCCTTAGCAGAAAATCACCCCAAAAGTATAATGTTTCCACCTCCATGTTTGACGGTGGGGATGGTGTTCTTGGGGTCATAGGCAGCATTCCTCCTCCTCCAAACACGGCGAGTTGAGTTGATGCCAAAGAGCTCGATTTTGGTCTCATCGGACCACAACACTTTCACCCAGTTCTCCTCTGAATCATTCAGATGTTCATTGGCAAACTTCAGACGGCCCTGTATATGTGCTTTCTTGAGCAGGGGGACCTTGCGGGCACTGCAGGATTTCAGTCCTTCACGGCGTAGTGTGTTACCAATTGTTTTCTTGGTGACTATGGTCCCAGCTGCCTTGAGATCATTGACAACATCCTCTGGTGTAGTTCTGGGCTGATTCCTCACCGTTCTCATGATCATTGCAACTCCACGAGGTGAGATCTTGCATGGAGCCCCAGGCCGAGGGAGATTGACAGTTCTTTTGTGTTTCTTCCATTTGCGAATAATCGCACCAACTGTTGTCACCTCACCAAGCTGCTTGGCGATGGTCTTGTAGCCCATTCCAGCCTTGTGTAGGTCTACAATCTTGTCCCTGACATCCTTGGAGAGCTCTTTGGTCTTGGCCATGGTGGAGAGTTTGAAATCTGATTGATTGATTGCTTCTGTGGACAGGTGTCTTTTGTACAGGTAACAAGCTGAGATTAGGAGCACTCCCTTTAAGAGTGTGCTCCTAATCTCAGCTCGTTACCTGTATAAAAGACACCTGGGAGCCAGAAATCTTTCTGATTGAGAGGGGGTAAAATACTTATTTCCCTCATTAAAATGCAAATCAATTTATAACATTTTTGACATGCGGTTTTCTGGATTTTTTTGTTGTTATTCTGTCTCTCACTGTTCAAATAAACCTACCATTAAAACTATAGACTGATCATTTCTTTGTCAGTGGGCAAATGTACAAAATCAGCAGGGGATCAAACTATGTATGAACTAACAGGTTATAGGGCAAAGAACACAATTATGAGAACACATACAGTGGGGAAACTAAAAGTATTTAGTCAGCCACCAATTGTGCAAGTTCTCCCACTTAAAAAGATTAGAGAGGCCTGTAATTTTCATCATAGGTACACGGCAACTATGACGACAAATGGAGAATTTTTTTTCCAGAAAATCACATTGTAGGATTTTTAATGAATTTATTTGCAAATTATGGTGGAAAATAAGTATTTGGTCACCTACAAACAAGCAAGATTTCTGGCTCTCACAGACCTGTAACTTCTTCTTTAAGAGGCTACTCTGTCCTCCACTTCGTTACCTGTATTAATGGCACCTGTTTGAACTTGTTATCAGTATAAAAGACACCTGTCCACAACCTCAAACAGTCACACTCCAAACTCCACTATGGCCAAGACCAAAGAGCTGTCAAAGGACACCAGAAACAAAATTGTAGACCTGCACCAGGCTGGGAAGACTGAATCTGCAATAGGTAAGCAGCTTGGTTTGAAGAAATCAACTGTGGGAGCAATTATTAGGAAATGGAAGACGTACAAGACCACTGATAATCTCCCTCGATCTGGGGCTCCACGCAAGATCTCACCCCGTGGGGTCAAAATGATCACAAGAACGGTGAGCAAAAATCCCAGAACCACACGGGGGGACCTAGTGAATGACCTGCAGAGAGCTGGGACCAGAGTAACAAAGCCTACCATCAGTAACACACTACGCCGCCAGGGACTCAAATCCTGCAGTGCCAGACATGTCCCCCTGCTTAAGCCAGTACATGTCCAGGCCCGTCTGAAGTTTGCTAGAGTGCATTTGGATGATCCAGAAGATGATTGGGAGAATGTCATATGGTCAGATGAAACCAAAATAGAACTTTTTGGTAAAAACTCAACTCGTCGTGTTTGGAGGACAAAGAATGCTGAGTTGCATCCAGAGAACACCATACCTACTGTGAAGCATGGGGGTGGAAACATCATGCTTTGGGGCTGTTTTTCTGCAAAGGGACCAGGACGACTGATCCGTGTAAAGGAAAGAATGAATGGGGCCATGTATCGTGAGATTTTGAGTCAAAACCTTCCATCAGCAAGGGCATTGAAGATGAAACGTGGCTGGGTCTTTCAGCATGACAATGATCCCAAACACACCGACCGGGCAACGAAGGAGTGGATTCGTAAGAAGCATTTCATGGTCCTGGAGTGGCCTAGCCAGTCTCCAGATCTCAAACCATAGAAAATCTTTGGAGGGAGTTGAAAGTCCGTGTTGCCCAGCGACAGCCCCAAAACATCACAGCTCTAGAGGAGATCTGCATGGAGGAATGGGCCAAAATACCAGCAACAGTGTGTGAAAACCTTGTGAAGACTTACAGAAAACGTTTGACCTGTGTCATTGCCAACAAAGGGTATATAACAAAGTATTGAGAGACTTTTGTTATTGACCAAATACTTATTTTCCACCATAATTTGCAAATAAATTCATTAAAAATCCTACAATGTGATTTTCTGGAAAAATAAATCTCATTTTGTCTGTCATAGTTGACGTGTACCTATGATGAAAATTACAGGCCTCTCTCATCTTTTTAAGTGGGAGAACTTGCACAATTGGTGGCTGACTAAATACTTTTTTTCCCCACTGTAGGTTGTAATAAGGCTTCCCTAGTGATTTTACACACACACAGCTACTGGGTCTCATAGACTACACCAAAAACACCACCTAATTGCTTATGAGATTTTAGGATGGTTAGCTGAATATTCCAACAACAAAAAATCTAATGCAACCAAAACTCAACAGCACACGGATGTAGGCTACTAGGCAGAATGTACTTTGAAAGAAACAAAATACAGGAAAGCTATATAGTTTGCCAACACCATCTGCTCTAAATTGCTCATGAAACAGTCATTCAATTGCAAGCAGATCTAAGTGCTGCAACAAAATTAAATAATCATGTAGGCTACACTGTCCCGCGAAAGTCCTGCAAAATCATCCTGTTGTCCTGCATTTGGGTATTTTAAATATGGTCACCCTATCTATAAAGGAGATGGAGTTGACAGGTTATTGTTGTGACCATGGTGATTTCAATATTGTTTGTTTAAATCTCTCAAAGGTAGAGGACTTTCAGGACCATGCGTTGTCTTGTTGCACTACATGCAATCAGGAGATGAAGAAGGGGTTGTCATGGTATAGCTGACCCTGTTCGTTAATTTCAGATTCATTTAAGATAGACACATCTGATGGAGTTGACTTAAACTAATTTCTTTAGGAATCACAGTTGAGATACTGTATATACTGTAAGTCAAAGAAACTACATGAGATCCTTATTTTATTTTTGCCCTACTTTTTTTGGACACTTTTTTGGGGAGTTTGCTTTGGACAAGGGCATTTCCTGACACAGAGTCAAACATGGAAATGAATAATATAGAAAATATTTTGAAAATTACCCCCAAAAAATAATCCCTTATAAAATTCACCTACATTTTAATTTTAAACTCAAATAATGGAAAAATAAAAACAATAACAATTAAGTTTCCCTTCCCAGACAAGGATTGTCCTGACTTTCAAGAATCCCTGAACTTTGATCTCTGTTAATAATATAACACAATTCAACAAGAAATGGAACAGGGTATACAAATCTGAAATGTACAACAGTCATGTGAATCATTTTCTCTTACATTCTATGATAAGAACTATATATCTATCCCATTACCAAAGCAGTTAGGACAGTGAAGTTCTCGGACCAATCACCATTTGTTCATCTAGCATTTACAGCGCAATAAACCATTAAGAAAATTAACATAAATAAAATATACAAATTCGAGACCATTTACCTAAAAACATGGAAAATCCCTACACAGTGTTAATTCTCTATATATCAGAAATACTTTTCTGTCATCATTACCACAATCATTTGTTATTTAAGAAAGGAGGTAGTTGCTGAATTGAGGGTTGGTGTGGCTTCAGCAGAAAGTCAAAAACATGTGTTAGAGACATCACCTCCAGACTTCTCATAGCTTCAGGTAGTACACCATGGCCAGGATCAACAGCCAGAACTGAATCAAATAAAGAAAAGGGAACGTTAGACTTACAGCAAGAAAGTGCGAGTGTTGTTAGACTTTATGTTATGATAATGTCTCTACTGTATGTTGTGTAGTATCCAAAAGTGTCAGATAAACAGTTTTCGAGTAATGACACTGTTGCAACTGAATACTTAACTATTTACCAACCTAAGTAGACCAACTGAAAACTCACCACAAACATTAGCACAGCGAAACCATACCAGCTGATAGCCCATGTATATCGACTGAACACAGACTCAATGTGGTTGAAGCAGCCCTGGGTAGAAAGATAGAGGTTGTAAACAGGATAGCCATGTGCCAAGTTGGTTCAAGGACATGCAACAATGTGCTTACTTCAAGTGGGAGGTGAAACTACCCCTAACCACTGATACTGTACAGGGTCAGATATTTTTCATACTGTTATTAGTTACAGTACAGTTATAATTAATGGCAGGTACTGTATAACCAGATCCTAGATCTGCAGTTATGAGCTACTAAAATACTGAGCCTTCAAGTGAGAATCAGAGAACCAGAGAATATCTTATGGGTTAGGGAATGGGAATGGGGTTTTCTCACCTGAGTGAACATGGTGGTGTTCTGGCCGATCTTGCAGGCCTCCACATTCACCACCTCGTAGTTGTTCTTCCTCTTGCAGCAGTGGATGGGCCAGGGGTAGTCTGTACCAAACTTCCCCCTGAAGGTGGAGTTGTACTCTATCCAGTCCACTGGGCTGTCTGTTCCACAACACCCCACCTGAAATAGGGGAAGGGAGGATGTTGTAGAAACAATACATGGGTGAGGAAGATTCTTCAATCAAACAGGACTAGTTTAGTTAGTCAGTGGTCAAACTGATATTGTGACAGACTAAACTCACTTCACTCAAACTGAGTGAGCTACTTTATAAGGAATTGTAGAACTGATACATATGTTTACTGTGACAATTGTCTACTGTGGCCCTCTGATCTACATTCTTTATCCTAGCTACATCAACACAGTGGTTGTTTCTGTCCCTGTGCAGTAAACTGATCCCATCCCTTGTCTTTCCCACACTATGGGGCTGTCCAAACCAGTTCACCCAGCAGAGACGTAGTGGGACTCTGGCATTGATGACGGAGAGAGAGGGGCATGCTATGTCATGTCAGAGCTGACAATTCATCTGCTACTGCCAAGGGTGTGTGCATGTGTGTGTATGAATGTGCATGTGTGTGTTAGTGGAAGGTGATACCTTTTCCTAACATATACTCCACACAATAACCTAGGTTTAGTTGTCTTTGGGCTAGTCGTCTGTTTGGAATGTGTGTTGGGGCTCTGATTGGTCAGATTATCCTATGACAGATTCCTTTGATTTGGTGACCAGTCACCTCTCTCATCACTTTGTTCCATGTCAGTGTGATCCGACTGCCAGAGTCACCGTCGGCTGTATAGTACTTCAGCATCTGCTTCTTCACCAGATTACTGTTTCCAACCAGCTACAAACAGCACATAGGTGAGGATGAGACAAAACAGGAGAATACATTTCAAATGTGTGTTTCTAGCATTGTGCTTGTCAAACAATGTGAAGGTACCCCAAGTTGCCCAGTTCCCATGTACTCACATAGTCTCTGTGGGTGACTGCAGTGATACATGAGGCACACTCAAATATGTAGATGATCAACATCAAGATCAGATACTGTAAAAATCACAAAATAAATAGTTTCCTTTAATTGAAAAGAACAACAGGGAAAGAAATATAGGCATACAGTATATTACACTTGAATGATATATTTTGAAGCAGTGTTCAGATGAACAAATGAAGAACTTCTGTGACCAAATAAATTGTGATGAATTTAGTTTCAAAGTCTTACTGTTAGCATTAAGGCACGGCTCTTCTTCGCAGCAGCCAAGATACCAAAGACACACATGCAGAAGAAGGCAAAGCCTGTGAAAATGGCAATCCAGGCCCCAGCAAAGATGTCATCTTTCCCAGACACATCAGATATAGGGTAGAGATTGTATCCATCTACTGCAACCCAGATGGCCAGAGCGCAAAGGGCAAGACCTGCTGCCTATTATAAGAGGTAATAACATATATATTAAGAGTTGTTATAACAAATTGTAAACCATTATTATACCAGGATCCTACAATTGAAAGAGGCAATAACCGGTACAGTATAGAGCTGAAAGGGAACAGAAAGCAATGCTAATGTACTGTAGTAAACTTCTGGATTTTAGTGTTTAGGAAAACACCATAGATCTGCACACCATTTGTCTACCATTTGTTCCATTTGATTAAACAATACTTTAAAAATACAGTTACTATAGGAATAAAATCAAGTGCAAATCTTACAGCTCCAAAAATATTCCCCAGGATGAGAATGACCATAAGACAGGTGGATCCCTCTCCATCAGCCATGGTAGCAGTCCTTCTGTCAGCTCCTTCTAAACCCACTGCTCCTGAGCAGAGAAGAAGAAGACAGTGAAGAAATAACAGACCCAAGTACAAGTGTTTCTAACAGATCCAAGAGAATGTAGGGTCTGGCCGGATGTGATGTATTGTTGACATGGGAATGTGTCCAGGGAGTGGCTTGATCTCATTCACACTGGCAGCAACAGAAGTGGGCCAACCAGTTTGGCTCAGCAAGAGATTGCATTGTGGTCCTTTTGAATGGAAACACTGAGATATTGACTACAAAATATGACAAAAGAAATGTATTCATGATAAAAGTAGACTACATCTGGCCCAGACAGAAAGTGAGCAGTTCTGCATAAAGCCATCAATTCTCAGTCTACCCCTAGGCTATATGTTACACCTATAGCAACCGGTATTTCACCATTCTTGACATTTTTAGGTTACAGCAGTCTGTTAAATTAGCGGGTTTAAAGACCATTAGAGTTAGAGCAATCATCACATCATCTATTTTTACACACAACAAACATTACCTCCCCTGCAGTGATGTCAGGCCCTGAGCATCTTCTTCTGTTGACCAAACACCTGTTGTTCTGTTGCACCTGCTGTGCTCAGCACCTGTCTCAGCTTGCTGCTGCTGGTCCAGGTCAAGTTAAAAAAATTATGCACGCATGACTGTAAGTCGCTTTCGATAAAAGTGTCTGCTAAATGGCATGTTATTATTATTATTATTATTATTACTTCCATGACGGTCATGGAGCATGTCTACACATGTCTTTGATCCCAATTTCAAATCTTTATACAGTATGTTTACATGCATCTTCATTGTTTTGTATGTGTGTACTGTATATTGACTAATTGGGGTGTTTTCTACATTGAATTGATTGTCAACAGGCCTATTTGACACAGCTCGATAATACACTATTCCAGTGGACTAAATGGCATTACTATTAGTAGGTTGAGATGAAAAGAAATGATGACATCTGCTGGGGAGAAGTGCCATTGCTCTTCTTAACTGTTCACACTGAAACAGGATACAGCACAATTTAATTAGGTAGTAGGCTACATTGTTGAGAGTGGGGTTTCTCATGTATGGATGATTAAAAACCTCTACAACGTCATTTCATTGCACACATGCCATAATAATGCTTTTGTTTGGCCCTAAATTACATTTTTTGTCTATGAAGAAACTTGTAGGTTATTGTCTCAAATGTACAGTAAAATAAGTGGCATTTGTAATTGTATGGTAATAATTATGATCTGAATATCAAACAACAAATTTAATCTTGTTTCATACTAAGCAATATTCTTGTCATATATTTTTTTCATCTTGTTTCATATCAAGCAATATTCTTGTCATAAAAGCAGCCAGTTCTTGTGTTTTCCAATAACAGTCACCAGTTTGTCTCTCTGTATTCACACACCGTAGTCTTGTTAACACCAGCCTCTCTAGCTCGCTGTGTTGTCACGTGGGTCGCGGTCAACCAGGCTACACACACCTTGTTCCACCTGAAAAAATATATATATCCTGGAAGGAGGTTCTGTGGTTTATTTACGATGCAGCATGTGACTGACTTGGTCAACAGTGAAGTGAATGGGGTTCAGATGTTATTCCTAAATAACTTACTAACTTGGCAAACCTTGGCAAACCTCTCCAGAAGTGAAGGATTACTCTAGTGATATCAGCCTTAAGATCAAGTCTGCATATCATTTTTATTTTATCTCTGAAAGGTAAGTAGTCTGTCATTATTTATGCTTAAGTATTATCCATCTCCTTATGGCTCCTGAGTGGCGCAGTGGTCTAAGGCAACTGTGCCACTAGAGATCCTGGTTCGAATCCAGGCTCTGTCGCAGCCGGCCGCGACCGGGAGACTCATGGGCGGCGCACAATTGGCCCAGCGTCGTCCAGGGTAGGGGAGGGAATGGCCGGCAGGGATGTAGCTCAGTTGATAGAGCATGGCGTTTGCAACGCCAGGGTTGTGGGTTCGATTCCCACGGGGGGCCAGTATAAAAAAAAAAATGTATTCACTAACTGTAAGTCGCTCTGGATAAGAGCGTCTGCTAAATGACTAAAATGTAAATGTAACCAACTAAATCAGTATCACTTTACAATACAACAGACGGGTTAAAGTGCTGTAATGTAAAGTGCTACCCTCAAATCTGATTGTTTCTTACTTCATAGTGTTATGTAGTAGGTAGTGTAGTGTTAGCACACAGTTAGGCAACACATTGACAGGATACACTTCCACACTCCATTCCCCCAGGAGGCAGCAGGTGCTGAGCCTGGTTGATAAGCAGGTGCTGTCAATGAAGGTGATCGTCAGTTCAGTAGGCGGGAATGGAACATAAAGTTGGATGCCAACTGCCAAAAAAGTATAGTTGGTGGTGGTAATGCAACATATAATGGATGCAAACCGCCGTTAAACCTCATCGAAGAAGAAGAAGAAGAAGGTGATCGTCAGTCAGTATCCCAGCTTGCAAGCCGTAAAGGCTGCAGGTTTTGTTTGGTGGCCTTTCGTTTTTTAGCCTTTAGTTTGGGCATGCCTTTAGTATTTTTATGTTTAGTCACCTTCTGAAAATAATTATAGTACGCTTGGACTGGCCAACCAAGAGGTCAAGAAAGACAGAGCTGGCCGTGGACCAAGCTAAGGTTGCTGTCTCCCTGGGCACATGTACATTAAAAACCTAGGCGCATATGCTGATTTCTCACATAGATGTACATTCATTCAGGTTACAGACCATGTAATTAGGTCTAGGACCCCTAGACAAAGAGAGTGTGACAATATTTGTAGGCTAGTTATTGGTTTCGTAACAAGAGCTACTTGTACAATATCAAGTCTTAGGAGCACATCATTGCGACAAATACCTTTTTACTCATTTGTTTTTTCTCAGGGAGATAAACTGAGCTCATGATGACTGAGAAACTGAGTAAAGAAATGGTGGAGCTGCTGCTGGCACCATGGCGATCGTCTCCAAGGGTGACGGGACTGGAGGGCAGGCTGGTGGCAGCGTTGGAACTGTATGACCACTTCCCTTTAGATGTGGCTGTTACTGGGGGAACCCAGGAGGCCAACACTCAGCTGGCCAGAGCACTGTGTGGGTTAGTAGAGGAAGAGGAGGAGGAGGAGGAGGAGGAGGAGGAGGAGGGGGAGGAGAAAGAGAAAAGTGAGGATGAGGAAGCTAGTGATGGAGATGCAGATGATGAAATTGAGATTTCTGGGACTCTGACTAAAGTGTTTGAGAGAGAAGAAAAACGACAGGTTAAGGAAAGTGAGGAGGACAACAATAAGAGGGATGACTCTCCCACTGAGAAACAACCCATCGTCCTGCACCCCAAATCACCAATGGTCCTGCACCCCAAAATCCCCAACATTCGGATTTGGACAATTCCAAGCCTCGATGGCCAAAACCACCCTATTGAACACTTCGATGTGTTGGTGGTCCTCACCTCAGAGCAGTACCAGGATGACCTCCCAGGGCCTATCATGGAGCTCCGCGACAGGGACCAACCGCTGTTCTTAGTCAGAGCTGAACAGGAGTGGGACCTGGTCCAGGAGAAGCTCACAGGACCCTGTAAGACCTGTGCCTGGGAGAGAATGAGAGCCCGTCAGATGGAGATTGAGAAGAAAAGGCTGGCAGCCACAGCTGGAGGAGCCGAGGTCCCAGAAGATGTCAAGCAAACGTTACTAGAGTTAAGGGAGATTGGAGCGACAATGACTACAGCTCTGACTGAGCTGAGAAAGAAAGCCTTCTGTCAGTTCATGGTGGATGTTTTCAGAGAAAACGGAGTTCCAAAATTGCTGAGGAATGCCGAACAGTGAGTGTGTGTTTAGTCTCATGTTATGGTTAATTGTGCAAACGATGTGTGTACAGATAATTAATATTAATGAAACTACATGGCAATTTTCCAGATTTAGAGTAAATAATCAAGTTTGTCCCTTGAGGAGATACTGTGAAACAAACCATTACATAATTTGTAATATCATGTGATATGGACATTTCCCAGGTATATTTTTTATTGACCCAAATCACACTTCTTTGTATCATTGCATCCTTTTGCTCATATCCTTCCCTACAGTTCTCTGCTGTCAGCTGGACTGAGAATGGACAAGGTGCGTCAAGGGGACATTGATCGGCATGGACACCTGTTCCAGTCCAGAGATCTGACCAACCCCCCATCCAGACTTCTCTCCGCCCTCACAGCCCTGGAGCACCTCCGACTGGACCTGGGGGTCCTCGGGCAGACGGGTTGCGGCAGCTCCAGCTTAGTCAACTCCCTCCTGGGCTTGAAGAACCAGGACGAGAGGGCGTCTCCCACTGGAGTCACTGAAACCACCATGGAGGCTCTGGGGTTCCCTCACCCTGAGCTGCCTAATGTCTGGCTGTGGGATCTACCAGGGATGGGCAGGGTGGGGGATCTTGTTCCCTCCTCGACCAAGACAGATCAGAAGGCTCCTTCATCTTCTCCACAACCTCCATCTCCATTCCCTCCTCTGTCTCTGACTCCTCTGCACCCACCATGTGATGTCTACATCCTGGTCTCGCCTCTCAGGCTTAGCCAGGTCTGTGTCCAGCTGCTGCAGAGTCTGTCAGCTCAGGGGAGGCTGTGCTACCTGGTCCTCTCCAAGGCTGACCTAATGGGGGAGGGGGCTGTTGAAGAGGTTAGAAGGTGGAGTGAGGAGGCCCTAGGTCGTCTAGGCCTCAAACAGACCACTTTCCTGGTGTCAGCTCTCCACCCAGGGGAGCTGGACTTCCCCAGGCTGCACGAGGCGTTGTGTGGTGCACTGGCTTCCCACAGAAGGGCTTCCCTTGCCCATTATGTTGTAGAGCTTTTGGAATCAGAGGTGTGGGGGGGAAAGGGCCAGGGAGACCCTTGCAAACTTCAGTGACATGTCATTTCAACAAACTGTATTATGATAATAATAATATAATAATATGCCATTTAGCAGACGCTTTTATCCAAAGCGACTTACAGTCATGCGTGCATAATTATTTTTTTTTTCTGTGTATGGGTGGTCCCGGGGATCGAACCCACTACCTTGGCGTTACAAGCGCCGTGCTCTACCAGCTGAGCTACAGAGGACAGCTAGATAGCTAGAAATATTATTTGTGTCTGTCTCCTGTTGTATCAAAGCCATGATGTGAGACGTCAGAGGCTCTGGATAATCTGAATGACTGGGTCCATGTTCTATATTCAAATCAAAATAAAACCAACGTTTATTGGTCGTGTACACAGATTTGCTCGTGTTATGGCAGGTGCAGCAGAATGCTTATGTTACTATCTCCAACAGTGCAGTAGAATGTCTCGCAAATACAATACAAATGCACAAATAATCATTGTATGGTAAAGTTGTATCCAGTTTATGAATACATTATGGTTTTAATCAAATAAAAATACCTACATCAAATACAATTAGCAGTATGCAAATGAGTCATTGTTTGTACACTGCTCAAAAAAATAAAGGGAACACTTAAACAACACAATGTAACTCCAAGTCAATCACACTTCTGTGAAATCAAACTGTCCACTTAGGAAGCAACACTTATTGACAATACATTTCACATGCTGTTGTGCAAATGGAATAGACAACAGGTGGAAATTATAGGCAATTAGCAAGACACCCCCAATAAAGGACTGGTTTTGCAGTTGGTGACCACAGACCACTTCTCAGTTCCTGAGTTTTGGTCACTTTTGAATGCTGGCGGTGCTAACACTCTAGTGATAGCATGAGACGGAGTCTACAACCCACACAAGTGGCTCAGGTAGTGCAGCTCATCCAGGATGGCACATCAATGCGAGCTGTGGGAAGAAGGTTTGCTGTGTCTGTCAGCGTAGTGTCCAGAGCATGGAGGCGCTACCAGGAGACAGGCCAGTACATCAGGAGACGTGGAGGAGGCCGTAGGAGGGCAACAACCCAGCAGCAGGACTGCTACCTCCGCCTTTGTGCAAGGAGGAGCAGGAGAAGCACTGCCAGAGCCCTGCAAAATGACCTCCAGCAGGCCACAAATGTGCATGTGTCTGCTCAAACGGTCAGAAACAGACTCCATGAGGGTGGTATTAGGGCCCGGCGTCCACAGGTGGGGGTTGTGCTTACAGCCCAACACCGTGCAGGACGTTTGGCATTTGCCAGAGAACACCAAGATTGGCAAATTCGCCACTGGCGCCCTGTGCTCTTCACAGATGAAAGCAGGATCACACTGAGCACGTGACAGACATGACAGAGTCTGGAGACGCCGTGGAGAACGTTCTGCTGCCTGCAACATCCTCCAGCATGACCAGTTTGGCGGTGGGTCAGTCATGGTGTGGGGTGGCATTTCTTTGGGGGGCCGCACAACCCTCCATGTGCTCGCCAGAGGTAGCCTGACTGCCATTAGGTACCGAGATGAGATCCTCAGACCCCTTGTGAGACCATATGCTGGTGCGGTTGGCCCTGGGTTCCTCCTAATGCAAGACAATGCTAGACCTCATGTGGCTGGAGTGTGTCAGCAGTTCCTGCAAGAGGAAGGCATTGATGCTATGGACTGGCCCGCCCGTTCCCCAGACCTGAATCCAATCCAATCCAATCTGGGACATCATGTCTCGCTCCATCCACCAACGCCACGTTGCACCACAGACTGTCCAGGAGCATGCCCAGGCGTTGTAGGGAGGTCATACAGGCACGTGGAGGCCACACACACTACTGAGCCTCATTTTGACTTGTTTTAAGGACATTACATCAAAGTTGGATCAGCCTGTAGTGTGGTTTTCCACTTTAATTTTGAGGGTGACTCCAAATCCAGACCTCCATGGGTTGATACATTTGATTTCCATTGATAATTTTTGTGTGATTTTGTTGTCAGCACATTCAACTATGTAAAGAAAAAAGTATTTAATAAGATTATTTCATTCATTCAGATCTACATTTACATTTACATTTACGTCATTTAGCAGACGCTCTTATCCAGAGCGACTTACACATATTTTTTTTATTTTTTTTTATTTTTTTTTTTTATTTTTTTTTATTTTTTCATGATTTTTTTATTCATCTAGGATGTGTTATTTTAGTGTTCCCTTTATTTTTTTGAGCAGTGTATTTTTGAATGATTATGAACACCACATAGCAATGAAAGAAAGCAGCCACGTTGTAAATACCTTCCCGTACACTAGATGGAAAACATACAGGAAACTCAGAAGAACAAGCAGAGGATATCCAGCAAAGAAGACAAAATCGGTGATTGTCATCAATGTTATGTCACGGAGTTCCATATGAGTCGTTACTCCAACTGTAGGCCGCAAAAGGTAAATTGTAGACATTACTACATTTATTCCAATAAGCACATCGACACGTCAGTTTACCTCTCGTGAAGTTGTGCCTTCCTTTGCAACGTATGCTCCACTGTTTCCCAGTTGTATTGCTTACTAACCGGCTAAACAATGTTTGCGGTTCTAATTAATGCATTGGATAACACCTGAGAGCAGGTGTTGTCAGCGAAGACCCTCTCAAAACAACTATTTTGTTCCATCTGATATATGTTGCCGGTGTATTGCCATTTACAGTAAAACTGCACACAACCGAATGACTGCCTTTGGCCCTTAACGTAATTTGTCATCATGCCTTTGCACGTGCACTGTCCTTACTTATGAAACTACAGTAGCTAGCTAGCTGTATTTAGGCTATTGCTGTATTCAGCTAGGCCTATATGCTCAACTGGATCCAAGTGAAAACTGTCACTAACTGTACAAGCAAGTATTTATTTCAAGAAAGTATGTTTCCCTTGTCTCTGAGTCTCCTGACGGGTTTGGTGGAGATAGAAAGGGACTGTCATGATGTCATTATCTTATCAGGGGCGACCACCCAGACCCAACCCTCCTTCTCCACTTAGATTAGAGGGAGACAGGCTACAACTCTCTGAGTCAGTCATCTATTTGATGAGTGAGACACTGTCATTGTTTTAGTCATGGCTTTTTGTAGCTAACTAAACTCAACTCCATGGTGAATGAAGTTTCTGATTAACTCCACCAACAGAGTTGAGCAGGGACCAGGCTATGTGGAATTCAGCTCCGACTACATCGATTCACCCAAGGTCAATACTTAAAAAAATAAAAAATTATATAACGCTTACCTTGTACCTATGTTTGTCGTCTGTAGGTGTGTGCCTTTCTTTTTTTTTATGTTGGTCAAATACAACCACAGACCATTTCCACATTTTCTATTGCTCTAAGATTGTTCTAAAACTTACATTACCTTGTATAATCTGAGATTCAATTGGCACATGAGATACCATTTTAGAGCAACAGAAACAAGGAAACGGTCGGTGGTTGTATTTGACGAACGTTTAATGAAAAAGTATGGATTTCAGCAAACAAAGGCACTCAACTACAGAGGACATGCATAGGTACAAGGTGTTGAACAATTTTACATTTTTAGAAGAATCGATGTAGTCATAGCTGAATTCCACAAACCCTCATCACTGCTTCACCCCTTGGGGAAGATAATCTTCAAAAACATACTTCATCATTGGGTCAAGTAGGCTTGGCTAGGCCTCTTGACAGTTACCGGTCTGACAGTGTGCAGCTGTCCTTGTTTCCTCCCACTTTAACCAAAGCTAAGCTTGGTCCCTTCACTGAAGTTTCTACTAACATTACTTGGCTTGCCCAGTTGCTCTTAATGCCATGCATACATTGATGCTTGAGGGATTTGTGTGGTACAGAAAACACACTACAGCCCTGTTATGTCCCATTCCACAGAGCTGGGCATCCTAGGGCTGAATGCAGAAGACAGTGGCTGTCCTGGGAGGGGGGATAGGGGGCCTGTCTGCCTGCTTCCACCTCAGCAAGTGCCCCCAGGTCTCCAAGGTAAATGCCATTACCACAACTACCTCCACATATGCTGCAGGTACGCTACATCTCTACTGTAAGGCCAAACATACTGTAATTAAGCTGTTATTACACTATTATGAGATGCCCACTAGGCCCTGCACAGTAACAACATTAGATGAATACAGTTGAAGTCAGAAGTTTACATACACTTAGGTTGGAGTCATTAAAACTTGTTTTTCAACCACTCCACAAATGTCTAGTTAACAAACTATAGTTTTGGCAAGTCGGTTAGGATATCTACTTTGTGCATGACACAAGTAATTTTTCCAACAATTGTTTACAGACAGATTATTTCACTTATAATTCACTGTATCACAATTCTAGAGGGTCAGAAGTTTACATACACTAAGTTGACTGTGCCTTTAAACAGCTTGGAAAATTCCAGAAAATGATGTCATGGCTTTAGAAGCTTCTGATAGGCTAATTGACATCATTTGAGTCAATTGGTGGTGTACCTGTGGATGTATTTCAAGGCCTACCTTCAAACTCAGTGCCTCTTTGCTTGACATCATGGGAAAATCAAAAGAAATCGGCCAAGACCTCAGAAAAACAATTGTAGACCTCCACAAGTCTGGTTCATCCTTGGGAGCAATTTCCAAATGCCTGAAGGTACCACGTTCATCTGTACAAACAATAGTACCCAAGTATAAACACCATGGGACCACGCAGCCGTCATACCGCTCAGGAAGGAGACACGTTCTGTCTCCTAGAGATGAACGTACTTTGGTGCGAAAAGTGCAAATCAATTCCAGAACAACAGCAAAGGACCTTGTGAAGATGCTGTAGGAAACAGGTACAAATTTATCTATATCCATGGTAAAACGAGTCCTATATCGATATAACCTGAAAGGCCGCTCAGCAAGGAAGAAGCCACTGCTCCAAAACCGCCATAAAAAAGCCAGATTACGGTTTACAACTGCACAGGGGGACAAAGATCGTACTTTTTGGAGAAATGTCCTCTGGTCTGATTAAACAAAAATAGAACTGTTTGGCCATAATGACCATCGTTATGTTTGGAGGAAAAAGGGGGGTGGCTTGCAAGCCAAAGAACACCATCCCAACCGTGAAGCACTGGGGTGGCGGCATCATGCTGTGGGGGTGCTTTGCTGCAGGAGGGACTGGTGCACTTCACAAAATAGATGGCATCATGAGGAAGGAAAATGATGTGGATATATTGAAGCAACATCTCAAGACATCAGTCAGGAAGTTAAAGCTTGGTCGCAAATGGGTCTTCCAAATGGACAATGACCCCAAGCATACTTCCAAAGTTGTGCCAAAATGGCTTAAGGACAACAAAGTCAAGGTATTGGAGTGGCCATCACAAAGCCCTGACCTCAACCCTATAGAACATTTGTGGGCAGAACTGAAAAGGCGTGTGCGAGCAAGGATGCCTACAAACCTGACTCAGTTACACCAGCTCTGTCAGGAGGAAAGGGCCAAAATTCACCCAACTTATTGTGGGAAGCTTTTGGAAGGCTACCCGAAACATTTGGCCCAAGTTAAACAATGTAAAGGCAATGCTACCAAACACTAATTGAGTGTATGTAAACGTCTGACCCACTGGGAATGTGATGAAAGAAATAAAAGCTGAAATAAATCATTCTCTCTACTATTATTCTGACATTTCACATTCTGAAAATAAAGTGGTGTTCCTAACCTACCTAAGACAGGGCATTTTTACATTTTAGTCATTTAGCAGACGCTCTTATCCAAAGCGACTTACAGTTAGTGAGTGCATACATCTTCTTCCCCCCCCCCCTGTATGTCTGTCTGTCTGTCTGTGTAGATAGTGCTGCTGGAGGGGGATGGACGGTTCGGAGGCTGGCTGAGCTCAACTCGTAGGGAGGATGGAGCTGTGTTTGAACATGGACCTAGAGGGATACGACCTGCAGGAGCCGTGGGCCGAAACACACTCAACATGGTAGGCACTGTAAAGAGTTTGTGTGTCGTGTGTGTGAGTGTGTGTGTGTGTGTGTGTGTGTGTGTGTAGGTAAAAACCGAAGTCTATTTTCTACAGGTGGAAGAGTTGGGGCTGGAGAACGAGGTCCTCCCAGTCACCTATGATCATGTGGCCTCTAAGAACCGTTACCTCTACATGGGAGGCCAGCTACACAAGATGCCTTCTGGCTTAGGGTAAGGGGGAGGGATAAAATAGTACTATGTTAGACACAAACAGCTGACTGTCACCAATGACCTCACATACAGTAGGCCTACTATTTTTATGCATTCACAACATGGTTAAATGAATCAACTGTAGGTAGTTTGTCTATCCAAGTCACCCTGCCTCTGTCTCTCTCTCCATCCAGTGGAGTACTGCGTACAGTCCCTCCGTTCTCTCGTCCTCTGGTCCAGAGCGTACTGAAGGAGATACTGATCAGCAGAGGGAAGGAGGAGGATGAGTCTGTTCATTCCTTCGTGTCGAGAAGGCTGGGCACTGAGGTGAGAGATAGCATATATATATATATATTTTTTTTTTAAAGACCCTCAATGATGTCCACACAACTTCCACATCAGTTCAGAGTGACAGTATGCTCCTCTTCTCTCTCTGCAGCTTGCAGACATCGCCATTGACAGCCTGTGCAGGGGAGTGTTTGCAGGGGACTGCAGGAAGCTGAGTGTGCGCTCTTGTCTCCCGCCCCTCTACAATGCAGAGAAGGCCAGAGGTTCCATCGTCCTGGGCATGTTGCTGGGCTCAGGTGAGAGAGAGTCCACCACCATACCGAAGCTACATAGGACTTCTAAGAGTCTTAAATGTCCCCATAACAGTCGTATTGCTGACCTGTCTAATTTGAGTAAATAAATAACAAGTGTGACTGTCCCCCCAGGCCCTGGACCAGACGTACCCCCGTCTGACCTGGCCAAGAGGGCCGCTCAGGAGAACTGGGCCCAGTGGTCCCTGAAGAGGGGCTTACAGAACCTTCCAGAAGCCCTGGAGGAGAGGATGAGGAATGGGGGACGTGTAGAGGTGCACAGAGACACCCCTGTGAGGGGGCTAAGTACTAATGGCACCGGCTGGGAGGTGAGACTGCTGCAGACCTGGGGGTTGGGACACACATGTATGTGTACTGGCATTGTGGTGGTATATGTATTTTTAAGTTATTAAATCCAGTAAATGAATCAACTGATGTCTGTGCAATTGATTTTTAACACAGATTCAACTGGAGGACGGCACCATCAAAGCTGATCATGTCATTGCTGCTCTACCCGCAAAAGGTAAATTAACTTTTACTAAACTTGACCTCTGAACCTACATCTTTTACCTTCAAACAGTGATTCTAAATTCAGTCCCTGCACTTCTGCCTTTGGACCTGGAAGCCTGTGTGGTGTTGGTCTTCAGCTGTGTGTGTGTGTGTGTTGTTTTAGCTCTGGCCTCAGCACTGCCCTCTGCAGCACAGCCCCTGTCACAGCAGCTACGGGAGATTGCCACGGTGACCGTTGCCGTGGTAAACCTGGAGTACGAGGGTTCCATCCTGCCTGTCACGGTGAGAACACTCATTGAGAATGAAGTGATTTGTGTTGGAAGATTCTCCGTTATTTTCAGAATGTGTGTGTGTGTGTGTGTATCTAATGTGAGTGTTGTCTTGCGTGGCCTCAGGGCTTTGGCCACCTGGTGCCATCCTCAGAAGACAGAGGGCTCCTAGGGGTGGTCTACGACTCTGTAGCCTTCCCCCAGCACAACCGCACTGGAGGACCCACCACCAGACTAACAGTAAGAGACACACACAATATGTATGTACTGTATTCTCTCTCTCACTCACACACACAATTACATAATGTGTGTGTCATAGGCTATGTTAATAATGCACAGCATGGCAGGGACCAACCTTCCATGTATAAACCACAGTGGAACCCATCAAGATAATCAGGGTTACGCTCAGTGTAAATGAGGATGGCAGATCCCCAAGTCCCTTACGTTCACAGCAGCCTCAGCCTCAGTCAGGCCTATGGGGTCATGTCACAGGGAGGTGGTGGAGGGAGTTTTCTGTTTGGAATACCCTGGTGTGGAAGACGTGTGACTAACTGCAAATAGCCTCTGGTGCTATGTGACTTGACTTCTACAACAAATGTCACTACATTATTGATGTTCCTCCTTGCCTTGTTAAGACATTATTTGTTTACTGGGCAGATGCCTGTTTCTCTAGACACGTTAGTTTATGCAAACAGCCAAACTGCCTGCCAAGGCAAATATGGGGCAGCCATCCGTGGGACTACATCTCAGTAGCCCTGAATGAGGCTGTTGTGGAATGTAGTTCCATTTCTTCAGCCATGGTCTTATAGGTCCTTTAGGACAAAGGATGTTTGATGATGAATTTATTATTTAACTGGCTGGCAGACAGACAGTTCTCTAAATCAGGGTTTCCCAAACTCAGTCCTGGGGCCTCCCCTGGGTGTACACTTTGGTTTTTGCCCTAGCAGTACACAGCTGATTAAAATAACCAACTCATCATCAAGCTTTGATGATTTGAATCTGCTGTGTAGTGCTAGGGCAAAAACCAAAATGTAGGACCGAGTTTAGGAAACCCTGCTCTAAATGGTTGTGGTCATGGCCTTACTGTGGACTGTCTGTGTTCCCTAGGTGATGATGGGCGGGGCCTGGTTCCAGGAAGTGTTTGGGAATCCAGAGGAAGTGACAGAGCAGCTCCTCCTGGAGAGGGCCACTCAGGCCGTGACATCACACCTGGGCGTTACCACACCACCTATCTGGAGCGTCGTTGCACTACTCAAGGTAAGACGTGCGTGTGAGCGAGCAAACTGTTTCCGATGTCTTTCATTTGTGTTTCAAGAGACTTGAATCAAAAGCCTCTTCTTGTTCAATTTCATTAATTAACCACTATGTGCCACCAGAGGTCCTCATTGGGCCCTGTATTCAGTTAGTATTCGAACCAACCAACCATGTATTCAGTTGAGCTCCACTATGTCATAACTTAGCCCTGTCACAGGGGAGCAAGAGTGGAGCAAACAGATCAACAAGCCTGTTGATGATCACTATCTCAGCAGATGGTATGGCTCCTCTCTGTTAATGTACTGGTCTTTCTCCCTCATTCCCTCTATGGAAGTGGATAGGCAGGATGGAGAGAGGCACTGGGTGGGTATTATATCCTCTTCCCCTACTCCTAAACACACACCTTCACAGACACACACTACCCCAAGTCAGCTGCATCAGTATTCACAGTGCTGCATCTCCCAGTTTCTAGCTCAAATCCTGATGTTTCCCTTGCACCAAGTCATTCCCGCTGTTGTATGCTCAAAGATTTTCTTGTCATTTATTTCATCAGCAAACAAGTCCTTTTCCATTTGTGTTATCTTTCTCTGCGCTCCCATGTCAACCAACAACCAGGCAGCAGAGATAGCAGGAAGTTTTGACTGAGACAAATAGTTCAATTTGAATGGTATGGTCTGTATAGATAGACTGACGTGATAATCACTTCCAAACTGACACTAGGTGAACAAATGTTCTATTTTTAAATTTGTTGACAGTCTGGATGGATTCATCATTCACGGCTGTCTTCCATAAATTAGAGCTTGAGTGCCTGCTTTCCTGTCCAGTCACTCTTAGTTTTTAACGTCCTCTACCATTTATTTGTAGGCTGGTCCCAGGTCTGTATCTGCTTAGCCAACTCCTTGTCATTACGAAGATGGTTAAGAGATGGCTTAAGCTCATACAGGTCTGGGATCAGGACAGCTAATATAATTGTCTTAATATGTCATTTATCTCCTCTAGAACTGCATTCCTCAATATTACCTTGGACACTGGAAACGACTTGGTAAGATGGGGACAGTCTTCATTTAATAGATATAGATTTGACTTTTGCTATTGTGCTGGGTATCTCTGATTATGTGTGTTCTGTCTTATCTCTGTGCCCTGTACTTAAAAATAGGTTAACTTTTTTTAAATATAGAAATCTACCGTATATCTGTTGATTTGACCATGTGTTTATATCAACAGAAAATATGAGACAATACATCAAAGACCACAATCTAACCCTTAGTCTGGCCGGGTCCTCTTATGATGGCGTCTCGGTCAATGATGTAATCTTCAGTGGACGGACGGCAGCAGAGGGCCTTGTGGGAAAAGTCTAACCGGATGTTCAGGTTCCAACCATGGATATAAGCTATATTGTGAAAGAGATCTTGTTTTTTTCCTCATCACATTAGTTTTGGTTTTACTGTACATACAACTTACTAGTCACCCTCTGCATTTAAGCCTTCTGCAAAGGGATGTCATTTTCGCGCAATATTCCTGATTTATAAGCAGCATATTTAAGAAGTTTTCCATTTCCATCTCATTTGGACAAAGCACAGCTTGAACCACCAGAGATGATTCTATCAGATACAAACCTCTGTCAGAGACATCACCACTAGCCTGAAAAACACAGGTAACCCACAGAACAGTTCTCATTGTAATAAGATCATCTCGTTTTTGAAATAGAGTGCTGGATGAAAGTCATATGTACTCACTACGTAAAATGTAACCACAATCGGAACTGTTTTAGGGTGATCTGTCCCTGTAAGCTTACTTCAAGGATTTCATTTTCAACGCAGTAGTTCAGAATGTAGAGTAACATTTTAAATTCAGGATGAGATTTCATATTTTAGTTATGGTGCCTTTTTGCTAACAGAAATCACCACCCCTTCATGAATGTACAGGCATATTTGATGTGGGAGACATGTTAAAGATGTGATAATCAGTGGTGTGTATATCCCTACTCCATTGTGTCTGCTCAGGTGTTATGAAGTAACCTCATGTAATGCAATTGTCCTTTCCGGCCATCTGTTTTTTACCCTATCCTTTTTGTGAATATAGCAGACAAAAATCCATTATTATTATGGTAAAGAATGTGCTCATATGTTTCATCACCATGGTAACAGAACTGCACAGACTCTGATGTGATGATCTCCATATGGTGATCAATCTTGTATTTGGAATCAATCTAATTTATAGTTTAAGTACAGTGGCAAGGGGATGGTTTGATAATGTATTTTTATACACATGTTTATTAAATGAAACTTTATTATTTGGAGAATGTTGCAGAGCAATAAATATGATGCTTTATCATCTTGTTGTCTATGTCATGGACTGTCTCAGTGAAGGACAAAGTCTGTAAAAAAAAAAAACTGGATATTTTTTTCAACTGACAGTGAATACCAATATGTTATACTACCCAACACCCATAGCCAGGGTCAGAGGAAAGATCCTGCTGAGAAACGGCTTTACAACAGAGTGAGCTGATGCCAGATTTAGGCCACAAGTCACTTCCCTCTGTGATCTGCTTCACAGAATGAAATAAGAAAGCAACTTGAGGCCTTGAAAGTCAGTCGCATAAACGAGAGAGCAAGCAGGAGAGAGAGAGAGCTTTTCTCTCTGCTGCCTCTCCTTCAAGCTCTCTTACGCACAGTTTAGACGCCAAACTTGTGGCGAGTCTAACTGAATAGAAATGAAGAGCGGCCTGGCACGGTTAAGAGCTTTGCTTGACATACCAATTGGTTTCATACAACCGCTCTCAACACTGGAGCAGACTTCCTCATTGGTTTTGGGTGGAATTCAGGCATAACAGCGGCCTCTCACAGAAGTCCTCCACCTGCGAATCTGAGACAATTATTTTTTTCCCCGTTGTGGGTGTGGTAGCGAAGCAACCTTTATTTGCATGCAATTAACATATATTAATATACATGACCATTTCTGCCGACAGTGGAATAACTGCTCTGGTGCGCTGCATGAAAAAGAGGCGTGCTTCACCAGTACCCCGCCGAAAGAGCAGCAGAGGCTGCCGAACTATCATCAAAAGTCAAAAGAGGCACACTTAATGGTTTCAGACGGCACGCATGCCGCGTTCAAAACAACTGGGAAGTCGGAAATTTCTGACTTCAGTGCGTTCAAGACAATTGGGAACTCCCCCCCCCCCAAACAAAAACAAAAAACGAGCTCTGACTTGGAAAATCGTTTTGAACAGTCATCTATGTCGGAAACTCTGGCATCTTTCTAGAACTCTGACATCCCGACCATGATTTGACCTCATTTTTCATTTTCCTGAGCTCCTTGAAAGCACCATCTATCACCGCACTTTCAAAAAGAAAGTGACGTATTTTATTTTTTTGTTCTTTCTTTTTGTGTGTACTTTTTACCCCTTTTTCTCCCCAATTGGTAGTTAGTCTTGTCCCATCGTTGCAACTCCCGTGCGGACTCGGGAGAGGCAAAGGTCGAGAGCCATGCGTCCTCCGAAACACGACCCCGCCAAGCCGCACTGCTTCTTGACACACTGCTCGCTTAACCCGGAAGCCAGCCGCACCAATGTGTCGGAGGAAAGGACATCCCAGCCGGCCAAACCCTCCCCTAAACCGGACAGCGCTGGGCCAATTGTGCGCCGCCTCATGGGTCTCCCGGTCGCAGCCTGCTGCGATACAGCTCGAGATCGAACCCGGATCTGTAGTGACGCCTCTAGCACTGATCAGTGCCTTAGACCGCTGTGCCACTCGGGAGGCCCGTATCTTCTTTTTAATCGAGTTCTCACCTTTCGATGCTTAGCGCGCTGTGTTTTAGGGACCACCCGCTGTAGACGTCTGAATGATGACATTTTTCACACGATTCTACGTATAAAAATCGGTGCCCAAATTATGTTCCGAGGTGCTAAGTACTCACGGCCAGCAACCACTATTGGTGTGTCTGAACCTTTAGGTGACAGCCCCATTGTGTTGGTTGTCTAGGCTGACAACAGCAATGCCCCCAAATGAATCACTTACAGTATTTATTGTACTCAAGTCATTATTCTTCCAATTCTACTTTGTTGAACAACATTGACGTGAGTGTTCTTCCTGTAGCAGTAATAATACATTTAATAATGCATTTTGATAATACAATTTGAATTCTTGTATTTGATGAATATTGATAACTGGGTGATGGAAGGCCTTTGCTGCTATAACAGCCTCCACTCTTCTGGGAAGGTTTTCCACTAGATGTTGAAACATTGCTGCGGGGACTTAATTCCATTCAGCCACGAGCATTAGTGAGGTCGGGCACTGATGTTGGGCGATTAGGCTTGGCTCGCAGTCGGCGTTCCAATTCATCCCAAAGGTGTTCGATGGAGTTGAGGTCAGGGCTCTTTGCAGGCCAGTCAAGTTCTTCCTCACCGATCTCGACAAACCATTTCTGTATGGACCTCGCTCTGTGCATGGGAACATTGTCATGTTGGAACAGGAAAAGGCCTTCCCAAAAATTGGAAGCACAGAATCGTCTAGAATGTCATTGTATGCTGTATTGTTAAGATTTCCCTTCACTGGAACTAAGGGGCGTAGCCCGAACTATGAAAAACAGCCCCAGACCATTATTCCTCCTCCACCAAACTTTACAGTTGGCACTATGCATAGGGGCAGGTAGCGTTCTCCTGGCATCCGCCAAACCCATATTTGTCAGTCGGACTGCCAGATGGTGAAGCGTGATCCATCACTCCAGAGAACGCGTTTCCACTGCTCCAGAGTCCAATGGCGGCAAGCTTTTATACCACTCCAGCCGACACTTGGCATTGCGCATGGTGATCTAAAGCTTGTGTGCGGCTGCTCGGCCATGGAAACCCATTTCATGAAGCTCCCGACTAACAGTTTTTGTCCTGACGTTGCTTCCAGAAGCAGTTTCAAACTCGATAGTGAGTGTTGCAACCGAGGACAGATTATTTTTACATGCTTCAGCACTCAGCGGTCCCATTCTGTGAGCTTGTGTAAGTGATTTTGCTTCAATTTGATTAAGAAATCTGTTGAGGAGGAAGTCAGGAAGAAAATGAGATTGTCCCATCTATCTACTGTATTGCTCTCTCCAAGAATAGGCTGAAGGTAATTTCCTCCCTTTCTGTTCCCTGTCCCTCAGTCTTAGGGCAGTGTGTCAGCATTTTAAAATTATGTAGGCTATCAAGAAAGTCAGATGTCATTTTAGATTTGTGGAGAAAGTTAAAAGTTGGTGGCTTGATTTTTTTTAGAAAATGTGTTTGTCGTAAATTTGTACTCTTTCTCCCTCTTCTTCCTCCTCCTCCTCTCCTTTGAGTGCTCTGTAATTCACACGTTGGTGGAATAGCAGGAAGCCAAGCGGGAACAGGACTGAGAAACAGGGTTAATTCTCTCCCCACCACCCTGCTCTTAAAGGAAAATTCCACCCAAAAACTATTTTGGTATTTGTTTCATTAGTCCATTGTTTATCAGCAAACACGTTTTCAAGATATGTAACTTTCAAAATACAGGGATGATTTCTGTATTTTGAAAGTAACATATCTTGAAAACTTGATTGCTGACAAGCAAAACATTTTGGGACTACACTCTTAGAAAAAAGAGCGCTATCTAAGAGTGTATGTGAACAAGGGACTAATGAATAAAAATGTTTAAAATATATAGTTTTTGGGTGGTTCTCCTTTAATTGTGTCTAGCCGTACGGCCGCCGATTCCAGACTCTCCTCTGGAATATGAAAATCAGCCTGTGAATGCAACTTTAATTACGCTTGTGAAATGTTGAGAGGTGAAGTGATTGGAGCAGACCCCGTCTACATAAATCAACAGCCTCTTCAATGTTTGTCCTCCCTCATCTGAATGGTTATATCTCTGAAATGAGGATACTTTATTAATGCTGATTTCAGATTCAGATACTCTGCAGAAGTTTTATGTCAACTTAATTGGTTGTTTTGCCTCTGTCACACCCTGACTCTGGGGACTCGTATTTGTTGAGTCAGGGTGTGTATTTTCTGTGTGGTATGTTCTATGTTGCATTTTCTATGTTTAGATCTAGATCGTGTAGATCTATGTTGGCCGGTGTGGTTCCCAATCAGAGGCAGCTGTAGCTCGTTGTCTCTGATTGGGGACCATACTTAGGCAGCCTATTGGCACTAGTGGGTTGTGGGATCTTGTTCCGTGTAAGGTATGTTGTGTTGTGTTGTGCTGCCTTGGACTTCACGTTTCGTTTTGTTGTTTTGTCGGTTGTTTATTCCTTTAAATAAACATGTATGCATATCACGCTGCGCCTTGGTCCGTCCCGTCTGTAAGCGAACGTGACAGAAGATCCCACCAAACGAGGACCAAGCAGCATGCCCAGGAGGAGCGAATAGCCATGTCCCAGGTGGGCAAATTCTGGTCATGGGAAGAGATATTCGCGGGGAAAGGGCCATGGGCGAAGGTAGATACCCAGGCAGGAGAGGAGCAACGGCAACACAGAGGACGCCGGTCGAGGAGGAAGCCAGAGAGACAGCCCCAATAAAAAAAAATTGGGGGGGCTAAAGGGGTGGTCGGGGAGCGAGAGAGAAGAGCCCCGACCACTGCACCCGGTTGGTTTTCAGATTGGGTCCCTACGACCTTGGGAAGAGGAGTGGGAACAGTATTATACTGAGGAGTCGGAGGATGACGACGACGACGAGGTTCTGTTCCCTAACTCGTGGGGGCTCCCGGAGGAGTCCTCACAGGAAGAGGAGTGCCGACGACGGAGACCCGAGAGGCAACTCCAAGAAAAAACTTTGGTTCAGAGGGAGCAGGAGTTATTCGGTCAGAGGGAGGCGCTACAGAGGCTAAGGAGAAGGAAATGAACGTTCTCCTGGCATCCGCCATCCCAACCCAGATTTGTCCGTCGGACTGCCAGATGGTGAAGTGTGATCCATCACTCCAGAGAACGCGTTTCCACTGCTCCAGAGTCCAATGGCGGCGAGCTTTACACCACTCCAGCCGACGCTTGGCATTGCGCATGGTGATCTTAGGCTTGTGTGCGGCTGCTCGGCCATGGAAACCCATTTCATGAAGCTACCAACTAACAGTTTTTGTGCTGACGTTGTTTCCAGAAGCAGTTTGAAACTCGATAGGGAGTGTTGCAACCGAGGACAGATTATTTTTACGTGCTTCAGCACTCAGCGGTCCCGTTCTGTGAGCTTGTGTGGCCTACCACTTCGCAGCTGAGCCGTTGTTGCTCCTAGACATTTCCACTTCACAAGAATAGCATTTACAGTTGACCGGGGCAGCTCTAGCAGGGCAGAAATTTGACGAACTGACTTGTTGGAAAGGTGGCATCCTATGACGGTGCCACGTTGAAAGTCACTGAGC